GATGAGAATAAGAAGAGAAGTAAGAAAGAGAAGAAGAGGAGGAAGAGGAACCCCAAAACTTCCCTGACTTTGCTCTTATGGTCAACACAATCAATAACCAATAAAAGTGATTAGACCTTTCCTGGAGTTGACTTTCCTGGCCAGGTCTACCCGGTGGGGCTGACAATGGGGTAAGACGAGGACAATCAAACCCCAGAGCTTCTGCCAATGCCACCCATCTCCATTGAACGTAGCTCTTGCCTCCTTCTGAACTGCTCCGATCCTGCTTTGGCCACTTTTGAAGTTCTGCCACCCAACCTCCTCTGAACAGATTTTAGCCAAGGAGGAGTGTGTGTGTGTGTGTGTGTGTGTGTGTGTGTGTGTGGTGGTTTTTCTCCCCACCCCACCCACCCAGATAACCCACCCCAGATGGACTCACCTTAATCTTGCTGTCCCCCACCTTCCATAACTGGGCCGCGTTGTCGTACGTGGCGGCTAAGACGCAACGTCCCTAAACAAGGAAGGAGGGTTGGAGACCAAAAATAGCCGCGTCAGAGGCGGAAGAGCGTAAACCCCGCAGCTACGGGGCAGGAAGCAACTGAAGTTCTCCTTAAAAGCTCTCCCTCACCTCTCTTTCTCTGTCCCGTTAAACCAGGGGGGTCTTCAAACTTGACAGCTTTAAGACTTGTGGACTTCCACTCCCAGAATTCCTCCTCCAAGTCACATTAGCTCAGGAATTCTGGGAGTTGAAGTCCACACTCTTAAACTTGCCAAGATGGAAGACCCTTGGAATAGATAGAGACAGACAGAATAGATAGATATGGAGATAGAAGATAGACACTGTAGATCGGGGCTCTTGCAACTTGACAGCTTTAAGACTTGTGGACTTCCACTCCCAGAATTCCTCCTCCAAGTCATGTTAGCTCAGGAATTCTGGGAGTTGAAGTCCACACTCTTAAACTTGCCAAGATGGAAGACCCTTGGAATAGATAGAGACAGACAGAATAGATAGATATGGAGATAGAAGATAGACACTGTAGATCGGGGCTCTTCCAACTTGACAGCTTTAAGACTTGTGGACTTCAACTCCCAGAATTCCTCCTCCAAGTCATGTTAGCTCAGGCGTTCTGGGAGTTGAAGTCCACCAGTCTTAAACTCTCCAAGTTTGAAGGCCCTTGGATGAAAACTATCCCTTCCAAGGATTTACTCCTTTGAAAGCCAAAGGACCACCTCAAAACTCCCAGCGGCCCGTTTCTCAGGGTTGCTTGAGGTTCTTCAAAGGCCAAGATTTCAAATCGAGGTCCTAGCACGACCGCTGGGTGGGATTTGGGGTCAATCACCAGGAGACTTGGGAATTCTAGTCCTGCCTTAGCTCTGAAAGCCAGCTGGGTGACTTTGGGCCAGCAATACAAGCAAATTATTTGCTAGGGCAGAAAGCAGTTCTACGTTTCCCAAATGTCGATTGGATGGAAAGGTGCGCTGGGCTGAAGTTTTCATGAGCGGTTTTGTCTGCCCTCTGCTGTACGCAAACGGGAAAAACTCTTCCGAACGCGTTTTTAAAATTTTGTTTTATTTCTCAAATTTGTTTGCTGCCCATCTTGTGGTTCAGTGATTCTGAGAGGCTGGATATGTTGATCGCTTGCCCAGTGAGGACACACTGATCAAACTTTGTGCTGTAAGACTTCCTTCCTTCCTTCCTTCCTTCCTTCCTATCTCTTTTTCTCTTCCCTTCCTTTCTTCCCTCCCTCCCTCCCACCTTCCTTATTTCCTCCCTT